CCTATTATATTAGCAATCATTATATGAAGTGGTCTCCTTTTTCTTATATCACTATTGAATATCCTATATGTTCCAATCTAGATTTCTTTTCCTAAGTTTAGGCCACAACTTTTCTCACTAAGGATCTTGTTTGGTTTGGATTCTCTTTTTGGTATGACATTGCAAATTGATAGAGCAATTGATGTTGGTTCCAAACCCTTTGTTGCTAGGATTTTTTTCGAACTGGACATTTCTAAACAATATCAAAATAGCATTTGGCTTTGCTTAAAAAAGTTTGGCTATCTTCAAAAAGTTATCATATACTATTTAACTACATTTTGTGATCATGTAAAACTTTTGGTCATTGTAATATTGAATGTTATATAGTCCACCCGTAGCTAAGGAAAAAACTAAGCACTAAACATATAGTTGTTGGAAATGATTTAAAAAATGCTTGTTCTCTCCCTTATACAACTGAAGGGAATGTGCTCATATTTGACCTATTCCTAGAATGTAATAATGAACCCCTTGTTCATGTTCCTACTCACTCTATTCCTACAAATGAATCTTTAGGTAATGTTAACTAGACTGATCCTATCATGGTTGATAAGTGTAACCCTTACCTGAATTACAATGTCGATAATTCCATTCCTCCATGTCAATAATGTGCAAGGTTTTGTCAATGATCCTTCAGAGTATATTGATGTATCTAACATGTTCTCAATTATTACCATCCTCAAATCCTCATTATCTCATGATAATCATATGAATAATATAAATTGGATCTCCAATATTGATCATGACTCTGATTGGGATCCTAGTAACCATACTAATGGGTTCAGCTATTCTACACATTATATATTTAACTGGGAAGAAGGAGAGATAAATTCTACTGATGATGAAGTATATCATAAGGAGATTCATGATATTGATGATCATAATTTAATTAATGTCAAAAAAATAACAATTTACATTAGTTACTTCAAATAAGAAGAAGAAAAAATGCAGCTCAACCTATCTATTTATTTTAGGACAACAACCTCAAATGCTTCATCTAGGAAAGTTTCCAATAATTAGTATAATTTTTTGGAATGTCAAGAGGGTGGGTAAGCTAGATGCTTATATTTGTATTCATAATTTATGCAGAATTCATAAAATATTATTTTTAACTCATCTTGAACTATTTGTGGAATCTTCAAAATTACTAACTTATCAAAATATTCTTTTCATGGAACAATCTATGACGTGTTAGAGGTAATACAATTTTAATGGCCTTAGCCATTATCTGCTCCTGATCAATAAGTATTATTATTGGATATTTTTCTTCCATTATTCATATAAATAGTCTCAATAGTCACGCAAATGATTCAATTATTTTCTCTAACAAAAATACTATCCCAAGCAAAATAATTTCCTAATGATTATGAACTCCAATAAAGGGTATACAGACTAAATTATATTTATTAAGCTTGTAGCTAGTATAAAAAATTATCACATCTCCAAAAAAGTCATAATCTATTCTCCTCATCTCATAAAAAAAAAAAATCCAACAATCTATCAAATTCATTAATTTGGAAGTCTCATGCGAACAAAGGGCCATTAACTTGCCAATCTTTAAATAATTGAATTTAAGAATTAGCAATATGTATTCAATCTTCATTCTTTTCTCCTTTTGAATGTAGTTAGAACCATCTCTCTTAAAGAATCCAATATTATCGATACTTCTAACTTTATTGACAAGGTAGAAAAAACAACTACGGTTATAATTCTATCATTGTTTTAAGAACTGATGATTTCGCATCACTTATGCTTCTAAATGAACTAAGTAGATGTTTGGATAAATCATGATTATGGCTTTATATAAATTTTTGTACCTTCCAATTTCCATCTTCATTCACTATATACCTAATCATGACTGGAAAACCTATTCTGATATCATATCTTTGGTATGTTATTTGTAAATTTAAATTAGGACCCTTATTGAAACCTGCTTTGAAACAAACAAATTCCTTACATCTGACCCTTTTGAAATTTGATAACTGTAACGTTCCTTGTGAGCACTAAAATTAAAATTATGTGCATACCTACAAAACATTACGTATGTCTCCTTCTCATTCTTGTATACATCCTGACACATAGTTAATATAAAGCTTGTACAAAGTAAATACACAGTCAATACATAATAAAAAATAATTAATATATAGTCATAACATAGTTGGTACATAATAAATATACATTAAATACACACCTTGTATACTTTAAATATGCAATCAATATACAACTGATATATGGAAAATACATAATCAATACACAGCTTGTACAAAGTAAATACAAATTAAAAAAATAGTAACAAAATTAAAAAAACGACTCATAGACTTTTGAAATATGTACAACCTAATTTAGAAATGAAGATAATATGATACACTATCGATTGAAAGTCGACAAAGTCGATACATAATAAATACACAACAATTAAATTCGAAATTACTACATAATAAATATCAAGTTAAAAAAAAGAATCATAAAATACAAAATTACAACACATGAACATTTAAAATATCTACAACCTAATTTAAGAAATGGAAGAAATTATCGACACAAAGTCAATATATAGTAAATACATAATAAATATATAGTTAATATCAAATAAATATATAGAAAATATATAGTAAATACATAATCAATATAAAATTGATACATAGTAAATACATAATCGATATAAAATTGATACGTAGTAAATACATAATCGATATAAAATTGATACATAATAAATACATAATAAATACACAATAAATACATAAAAAATAACTCATGGAAATTTGAAATATGTGTAACCTAATTTAGAAATGAAAGAAATTAACATACATAGTCAATACAAAGAAAATACACAGTAAATATTTATTAAATATACAGTAAATACTAAGTAAATATATAGTAAATACATAGTCGATACAAAGTCGATATATCATAAATACATAGTAAGTACATGAAAAAAATAACTCATGGACATTTGAAAAATGTGCAACCTAATTTATAAATAGAAGAAATTTTCATACACAATCGATATAAAATCGATACATAGTAAATACATAATAAATATATAGTCGATGCATAGCAAATACAAAGTTAATATAAAATAAATACATGAAAAAATATAGCTCATGAATACTTGAAATAAGTGCAAACTAATTTAGAAATGTAAGAAATTATCATACACAATCGAAACATAGTAAATACACAATAAATATATAGTAAATAGATTGTAAATACACAGTCGATACATAGTAAACACATAGTTTATACACTTCAAATACACAAGAAATACATAAGAAAAAAACTCATAGACATTTGAAATATGTGCAATCTAATTTAGGAATGGATGAAATTATCATTCAAAGTTGATACAATGTCGATATATAATAAATACACAGTCGATATAAAGTTAATTCATAGTAAATACATAATTAATATATAGTAAATACATGAAAAAAAGCAAAATATGGACATTTGAAATATGTGCAACATAATATAGGAATGAAAGAATTTATCGTACATAGTAGATACAAAGTCGATACATAATAAATATACAATAAATACAAAGTAAATATCAAGCAAATACATAGTAAATACATATTCAATAAAAAGTCGATATATAGTAAACACACAGTTAATCCATAGTAAATACATGAAAAAAAATAACTCGTAGACATTTAAAATATATTTAACCTAATTTAGAAATGAATGAAATTGTCTTACACAGTCGATATAAAGTTGATACATATTAAATACATAATAAATATGAAGTAGTTACACAGTAAATATACAGTTAGCACCAAGTCAATACATAGCTGGTACAAAGTAAAAATACAGTCAATACACAGCTTGTACCAAGTAAGAACAGTTAATACATATTGACTGTGTATTGACTATCTACAAGCTTTGACACTATCAATAAACAACTTGTGGACAATCAATACACAATTTATAGAAAGGGAGAATCATAAACAGTTAATTAATTGTTTATTGAGTGTCTACAAGTTCGTACACAGTTAGTTGTTAGAAAAAATCCTAAAAATTTGGGAGAAGTTTTAAATTTAATGATAAGTTGAAACCTATAACATCTTCAACCAAAGTAACTTCCGTTTCATACCCTAAACCTATCATTGCTTCAGGCTATAGTTTTTTAAACTTCAAGTTTTCTTGGACGTTTACATACCGCCTTTCGACTTCCGCATTTTGTGTGCATATTATCGGCTCTAAGAATGGAACATCCTCCTTTAAACTAGCCTTCATCTTCATCGGTTGTTCCTCATTTTTTTCTCAACTGGTATCACAAGTTTTTTTGAGCTAAAATCATAAATATTAGGTTGCTTTAGCGGGAATTTTCTTAAAAAAGGAGTGCCAACCCTAAACTCTAAAAATGATTAGGATGACAAAGTCCTTTTTCAAAAAGTCAAAACTAATCTGGCCAAGTCGGTTGTGCTAGTAAGAAAACAATAAAATGAAATCTATATTAAATATTCACTTGTCCAATTCATGTGTCATGATTTTATTGGAGTTCGGATACAGAGCTATGTTCAGCTCTGCACAAAATAATTTCTCTAAAAAAATATCCATCTTCTTCTATGCTGCTAGCAGTTATTCCAAAAAAATTCTCAACATTTCTTCTCCAATGGGCTTTTTTGAGAGATTTCACCGATTCTTCTCTTGAAAAATTTTTCCCTCCATGCTTCACAAGTGAACTCCCACCCAGTTCAAGTCAAGCTCTCGAGTTAGGGAGTTAAAGGACGAGCGAAGTTTGAGTTCATTTTATGGGATTGACTCGAGCTCGAGCCAATTTCCTGACAAGCGAGTTGAGCTCTAGTTTTATAGCGATTCAAGCTCGATTCTACTCATTTACATCTCTCATTTATACTCATTCAAATAATTTTAAAATATTTCTTTTACATTATCCGATTTTTATTTTAAATTTTACAATTCATTTTTTTTTCTAAGCAACCAAACAGCCCTCCTAAATCGCGCTCAAATCCTCCCAAAATGTAGGAATGTGAGTAGCACCTTGTCGAGCGAAATTGCGAATCGAGCCCATCGCTAACGGCTTCCTTCCATTGTCATTCCCTAATTTCTTATTTTTTTTCCGCTAAGTGTACATGTCTCTTCAATCTCAAATCTCAGAGACAGCGCGCTAGCCCTCGTCGATGGAGGTCATCGTCTCTCTCCCTTTCTCCATTTGATACTAAATTTTGTGTAGATGGCTCGCTTTTTCGTAGTCTTAATCTTCTTTGTGTTCTCTCGCAGGGAGAGGAAGATTTTCTTTCTCATCTGCAACAAAGACTAAGTTCCGATCCAGAGTACCCTTCAAACCACTTCAACCTTGTAAGTTCCATGACTCCGCTGCTACGCGCCCCTTCCACCTCCTGCAATGCCATTGAGCCCCTTTTTGGTTTGTTCTAGGGCATCTTCTTATGGAAGAAGGGAGATATCGTCGGCGGTGACGAGTCCAAGGACTTCAAATCTAGGGCCGCGGAGCATTTCCTGGCCTCTGCGAGGCTGAATCCCGGCGACAGTGCCTCTTTCCGGATTCTAGGACATTACTACAGCGCAGTCGTGGTGGATACTCAGAGGGCCTTCAAGTGTTACCAAAGGGCACTTTCTCTCAGTCCCGATGACTTCGAGGCTGGTGTGAGTTGCTGTTCCTAAGCCCGCCCAGCCTTTATCGAGCCAGAGGCTTCGCATTTTTTAGGATTCAAGTTTTTATTTAATTGACCGCATGATAACTTTCTTCCGCAGGATGCACTCTGTGATTTATTGGATGTGAATGGGAAGGAAAGCCTCGAGATTGCCGTGTGCAAGGAGGCTTCAGAGAAGTCTCCAAGAGCGTTTTGGGCTTTTAGGAGGCTGGGATACTTGCAGGTTTCTATTTGTTGCTTTTCAATTATTTATGTATGGTATTTGTTGTGGAATTTAGAGTTTTGCTTTCATAATTGCTTCCTTTCTTTTGTAAATGTAAGTATAGAAGTGATGGTATTCTCCAGTGGTTCACTTACAATGATGGTGTAATGAAAACATTTCAGATCTACCATAAGAAATGGGAGGAGGCAGTGCAGAGCCTGCAGCATGCAATCCGAGGATATCCAGCATGCGCTGATCTGTGGGAAGTATGTTGGGCCGTATTTTGTGCGGCACTTTTGTTGATAGCTTGCCATTGCGTCCATTACTTACCGTTGTTTATGTTTTCCAGGCTCTAGGTCTTGCATATCATAGGCTGGGCAGGCTCACAGCAGCAATTAAGGTATATTCCTTTCCTCGTAATAAGGAACTTATTTGTTCGAGGCAATTTATACAGACTTGTTTAGTATTATTGAGCTTTTGAGCAATGCTGTGGCCAAAGTCAGATTGCATAGAATGGTCTAATTTTCTGACGCATCACACTATTTCATGACAAGACTTGGTAAAAGATATCGGTGCTTCTCAAATATTTGTTCCATTACTATTTTGATTTGGGTGGAGATAGTGTGATGGAGAGCGCTATGTTGCTTGTGCAACCACTCCATGGCTTTTTCATCATGGGCAACATATTTGCAGAGCATCTTGCTCGTGTGTGAGTAGCGCTTATTTTAGTTTAAGCCACATAGCCAATAATTAATAACACAACATCAAATGAATCTATAATCAAGATAATTAGATTTGTCAAATCATGAAAATTTCTTTGAATGGAAAACGCTCACTCTTTCCATATAAGAAATGCATTCAAATACTCAATTCAGATAAATGTTGTGGATGCCGAATGGTTTATAGGTTTAACACCACAACTAATACTTAACTACAACAAATAAAAATGATTCATAATGTTGACCATAAATAGTTGTGATAAGATTAATGATGGGATTTGGTTTGGATCAGGTTGCTTGGTCTTAAATGCATAGAAGTAGAAACCAGATTTATAAGATTTAAATTTATGCTTAAACCTTAATTTTTTTAGATTGCTCAAGATAGATCATGCTTAGCTTAGTTTAGTTCAATTAATTTTTTAGATTTATAAGAACCTTAAACCTAAATCAAACTAAGAAATTGGTTTATGGAAATTTACTTACAAAAATCTAGTTGAACTCATACCAAACCAAAGTAAGTTGATCGACGATCGTTCATTTTGGTCTAAACATCTGTTCAATCACCTTTATCATCAATCACGTAGAGAAGATGAAGGCCAAATTCTCTATAAACACCTAATAAAAATCTACTTTTGCCCATTTACTCTCCTAATTAATGCAATCTAACATGGTTTAGATTTCTTTCCACTCAATTCTTGGCCTGGAGCTATTTACTCTTGAACCCTTGTGAGAAGGTTTGGAGTTCATGCATCTTTGCATATAAGAAATGCATTCAAATACCCAATTCAGATAAATGTTGTGGATGCTGAATGGTTTATAGGTTTAACACCACAACGAACACTTAACGACAACAAATAAAAATGATTCATAATGTTGACCTTAAATAGTTGTGATAAGATTAATGATGAGGTTTGGTTTGGATCAGGTTGCTTGGTCTTAAATGCATAGCAGTAGAAACAAGATTTATAAGATATAAATTTAAGCTTAAACCTTAATTTTTTTAGATTTCTCAAGATAGATAATGCTTAGCTTAGTTTAGTTCAATTAATTTTTTAGATTTATAAGAACCTTAAACCTAAATCAAACTAAGCAATTGGTTTATGGAAATTTACATACAAAAATCTACTTGAACTCATTCCAAACCAAAACAAGTCGATCATTCATTTTTGTCTAAGCATCTTTTCAACCACCTTTATCATCCATCACGTAGAGAAGATGAAGGCCAAATTCTCTTTAAGCGCCTAATGATAATCTACTTTTGCCCATTTACTCTCCTAATTAATACAATCTAACATGGTTTAGATTTTATTCCATTCAATTCTTGGCATGGAGCTATTTACTCTTGAAACCTTATGAGAAGGTTTGGGGTTCATGCATCTTTGCTCTCTCCCCCCTCCCCCCCTTGCCCCTCAAAAAATTTTTTTTTTTTAATTTTATTAACAATTTGTGTACCAAATATTTTTTGGAGTTCTCCAAAATATATACTGTGATGATTATCACTTGATGTAAAAGTTGATTAAATCTTGTATGCCATTAGCTATATGGATGTTTACGAGGATGTATGGTGTTTCTCTTGTATGTAAAGGCTATCTACTAAGAAGTTTTAATCGGGGGAGAATCGCTATTCTTGTCTTAGGAAGTAATAGTCACACGCACTTATGCACACACACATTCATTTTGGTGTATAGAAGTCACACACATGTGTCTTTTTTACAACCAGAGTCATTCTTTGATGATAATGACAAGTAATCCTAAAATTGATTTCATTAATTCATGAAATGCATCAAGCTTGAAATTTGTTAATGCGAGGATTTTACCTTGCAACAATGTGCTACAATATTGGTTGTGGTGAGCATTAGCAAGGTTTTTCATGGACGTAAACTATTAGTGACATGTCACTTGATTCGATTGTGATGTGAAATAATTGAGAGTTAGTTCGACTGGTGCTCGCACTATGATTTGACTCAATAATAGTCAAAAGTCCCGGTTTACTATAAGATAAATTGTACTGTCTATGATTTAGGGGCTTCAAATTGAAAAACTAGAGAAATAGTGAGCATAATGATTATAATAAGAATAATTATTGTATGTTCTCAAGAAACTAAGTGGTTAGGAAATATGCAAAGGACATTTAAGAATGTTATAAGTTCTTATGTTTTGGGTTAAAATCAAGATGTGGGAATGGTAGTTTATAAAGAGTTGTAGGGTGAAATATTTGATGTGAGTAGAGTGATTGCTATTTTTTATTTCTTATTAATGTTATTGTAAAGAGATTTTTTTTAAATGTTCTGGATTATTTATATGAGATTATTTTCATTTCAACTTTCTAATATGTTCAATTTAGTTTCTTAACGTTTCAAGTATGTTTCAAAATAGTTTATTTGTTGGATTATTTTGTATTAAATTGGAGGAGCTAAGGGGCTATTTTTCAATCAGATTTAAGAAGCCAAAGGACCCCAAATTAAATAATCTAGGAGCTATTTTGACCTTTTTATCATATTAGAAATGTTGTTAGCATGTATCTCAAGTTTAATTAGAAAATAGTTTTTAAACTCAATTTTGTTAAGCAATGGATGAATTATTGCAATGTATACTTCGGAAGAGAGGATGATTATTTGTGTTTTGAAATAAAATATTGGCTCTAGAGCTATTAATTTATTATTGGTGGGTATGGAATAGGAGATATGATTTTGTTAGAATAAATATTTGTTTTTTTGGTAGTGTATTATCTTGCATTAATAAACAAGTACTTTGATAAATGTGGAAAAGAACTTGATTACTTTTTAGAAGGGATTACTATCAAATAAAATATTAAGTTATGTGAAAATAATGATGTTTTTTGCCAAGTTAAATTGGAAGTAAAAATTGATCACAGCTTGAAGTTGTAGTTATAAATAATGATGCCTCGTCATCTTATAATCCATAGGAAACCATAAAGGCAAAGCTACCCAATGCTAGTATAAATATGTCAATGGTGAATGGAGCACCACGGCACAAAGATTACCGTGGAGTCATAGTGCATAGCGCACGGCGCGGCTTGCGCCTTTTTAAACATGGCGCACAACATAAAATAATTAAAGATATATATTCTTTAATTTTAAATGCCATTAAATAACAAATAATAGGTTGATTAGAGTAAACTTTAGGCATAAATATCATGTCAAATAGCAAAAATGACGATTTTAAATCTTACATAGACTTACATCAATAGATTTGAGTAGGATTTAAGCATAATTTATCCTAAATCTCACCTAATAACAAAAATGATAGCTTTAAATCTTACAAAAAAATTAAATCCTTTAAATTTTTTGTCCTTTAAATTTTTTGATATTTTATTAATTTGAAGGTTAATTAATTAATAGTTTACTATGATATTAATATATTAACATAAAAAAATAATTATAATTTAAAATTTGAAATTTATCACATGTTAACAAAATAGCGCGCGCCATGAGCGCCTTGCGCCATTGCCCATGCATGGCGCAAATAGCGAGCTCTATTTTGATGCGCCGTGCCGTGCCAAGTAAATAGCGCCATATGTGCGCCACGCCGCGCCATGTGCCACATGGCGCCCATCATTTTGCGGCATTGACATGTATGAGCCGTCCTGTACCTCGCGATTCTTGCATGCAATCCAAAGCATCTCTTCCTTATCATCATTCGTGCCAAGCCCAAGAGCTTTCTTGCTGCTTCTGTGTTGTAACAGTGACAATAATCAATTTATATCATCATTCTTGGATTTGGAACATTTGTTTGATATGGAAACTCCTTTAATATTTGGCAATCTCTGACTCTTTTTCTAACGATAGTGGGTCTTTTGCTTCATATGATGTTGACATCTACTTTTATTTCAAACACGAATTTTTTATTAAATAAAGTAAGCAAAGGGATTTGTATCTCAAAGATTGTTAATAAAGCTTGGTACTTGATGTTAGAAGTTGTTAATCAAGTGTATTGTGCGAATGAATATTATGTTAAGTGATATGCTTGCCTAAGAAGTTCACGGATTCTTTGATTGAGCTTTAATAGTGATGTACAGTGGATGCATGCAGTTGTCTCTTAAAGATTAGGATTATAAGAAAAAGTATTTTATATGAAAATTATCCTTGCACTTGATCTAATGGACATAAAATAAGAGCTATTGTTGATGGTTTATCCAATGTGGAAATAATCATGTTACTAAGAATAGTGCAGAAAATTGAAAAATCTTGGTGTTTGCATGTCTTGACAGTTTTTTAACTGTTTAATATCGAAGTACTTTCCTCTATTTTAGTTTGTGTTCATGAAGAGAACATGAGAACAGTATTATGATTGTTGTAAATTTGTCCCTATGCTGCAAGATGAAATAATTTAAAATAATTTTAGTATGATTGTAAATCAATTGATGCAAGACCATATTGAATTTAAAGGGTTTACTCCAATCTAAATGATAAACTTGGAACAATCTCTCATGAACAATATGATTTTATACTACTAAATATATTTTTCAATATAACTGAACGAACATTCTATCTGATTGATGTGCATTTTTTATTTTATGACAGTCATATGGGCGTGCAATTGAACTGGAGGATTCCAAAATATTTTCACTAATTGAGAGTGGCAACATTCTTCTTATGCTTGGTTCTTTTCGGAAGGTATGGTCTTTTTTTTTTTTTCTATTTCTTACTCAAATTTTCATGATTAATGGGCTTCATGTTCTTCCTTATAATAAAAGCAAAGACAAAGTAATTTTTTGTTTAAGTTTTAAAGTAGAATCTTGAAACTCATGCAGAAAAAGGATTTCCTTTTGTTTATCCTTCACTTATTGCACAATTTTATAGGGATATATATTTTTGTAAGCTTTGAAAGTGCTCATGAGCTCGATGGTGGACCTTCCTTTTGGTCTATTTTGGAGTTAGGGATTGGATGCCGAGATAGATGAAATCTTTTAAGGCAAATGGTTTTATTTTTCTTGAGATTTCTTTTAGAGACTTTGGACCATCCATTGGTTATATTAGATGTGGCGAATCTAAGTGTTCTATTACATCTAATATGCGATACCCAAAAACACCCTTTTTTTTATGGGCATTGCTACTCTTTGGATTGGTGGTTGGATTTTGGATCTATAGACAATTATGAAGCAAGAATAGAGATGATTGGTCAAATTGATAACGATATATGTTGCCTTGAGTCTGTTGCTTTGAAATAGTTTGGTAGACCCAATCTACCAATGATAGAGGGTTAGGAGATTGTACTGTTCAATGAGTCTATTTGCAACCATGAGTTGCACGTTATTAACTATCTTAAGTTGATCTGGGTAATGATATGCGTAAATACACTAACCTTCTTTTAGTGAAAATTTTGGATTAAAACCTAAATTGAATGGTTTAAGGAAATTAATATGATTGTTTGTGGTTTAGATATATTTTTATGCGATTTATTGGTAGTTTAGCAGATTGGGTTTATTCAATTCATATTGAATTGACATAAAGACAGAGTATGACCAATTTAGTTATTCAAATTTTGATTATGATACACCTCTATATGGAAGCACTCTAGGGCATATAGGTGATGTTTTACGTGTTGTTGGGAACTTCTTGAGACTGTGATCCATATCAGACATTTAACTTTAGTCTCGATAGTTCATTATTTATATTGATATCTACATGGTAGAAGGCATGTATATCGGTTTGAACCCTTAGTTGGATCATAGTTCACTCAAAAGGATAGCCTTGAGCTGAAGGATTTGCAGTTTGTTTGACTTACTGTTGATGAGTGTTTGGTCCACAAGAGCAAGCGAGTCTTTGGTTTCAGTAAAGAAATGGATCACATCTTTGTGGGTTGGCCCATAGTTGTGGATTGCTGAATTAATATGACTATCAAATGTTTGTCCTAGCCTAGATATTGATTGAAATACAAGTGTGGAATGAATGGAGGTTCATATATGTGATACGAACTTTTGGGGCTGACATTTATTTATTCGATAAAGAAGGCCCAACATAATTGAGATTTGTGTATTTAGTATGAACTCGGCTCAAATATTGTGATTGGTTTTATGTGTGATCTTGTGTTTGTGTTTGTGCATGAATTGTTTGGGTTTGGGTCGATATGTCTTGTTATGTTTGAAAGTTGATACAGTTGGTTGAGTAATTTCAAATCAGCCCATTGAATATGCTTGGTTTGTACGTAAGGAATTTGTGGTTCAAGCTCCATAATTTTCAAACAATCATACAACATTTTATGAATTTTTAAGTCTGGAGTCTCAAGGTGATTTGATGCATTCGTTAGGGCTCATTGAGGTCCAACTAAGATTCCATACTCTTCCTTAATACATTAAAGAGAACTTCCTGAAGTTTGAGAATTTTCATTAATTATAGAGAATATTCAGCGAATATTTAATTTTATAGCTGCTAGTGATATTACGGTGCTATGGGTATGCCACCATGCATTAGAGGTTCCATGCCCATCATTGACTCGAAATGGAGGAATCCTTCTAGTTTGATAATTTATAGAGCATTATATGAATTTTCATTGATAGGGGCAATTCAATATTTTTATTGGACTATGGACCTTGCAATAATAATTCAGAGGTTCCAAACTCTTTATTGAATTATAGCTATGGAACCCTTCCTCTTAGGGTTCTTCTTATGATTTTAAGAATTAATTTACAAAATCTTTGTTAACTTTGCATACATGGTCTATTATTCTGGTGTTGACATGGTGAAATAAAGGTTTCATGGGTTGAGCTTAGTGCACCCATCACATCAGTACATTTAGATCATAAATCAGAGATTCAAATAATTTTAAATGAATTCAATTAAATAATATAAGTTTATATGGTATTTATTTTGTATGCGAAGACAGGATGTTTATTCTCATATTTAATTTTTAATCAAAATGACCTTAAGTTTTTATAATACGGAGTTTTATGTTTCTTTAAAATTTGCAATTTTTTTTATATTATTATGTTTTTTATTTAATTTGTTATGGAAATTTAATTTTATTAAAATTTTAAATTACTTTATTTCCTTTAATTTTATGTTTGTTACTTGGGAATGTCACCATTTTGTTGTTTTGGTGCTTAGATAGATGATAGGATTTAGCTAGTCAATGATTTGCCGTTAAGTTCTTGACAGCTAGTGTTTGGTTCGAAGAAGCAGGGCTCCTTATGACCATTAGATTAAACAAATGCTCCTACTTAATCCATTATATCTATTGGAAGGCTGTGGAACCCACAAGTTAATCAGTTTTGATAGTGATTCTTGAGCACACACATTAATGGTTCTAATGTTGGACTGATGCTTTTATAACCTTTAGATTGCAATCTATGTACCTTCCCTTCCTCTTCTAGTCGCCGGGTCCTCTTGAGTTTTTTTTTTTTTCTTTTTGCCTTAATTAGCTATGATTTATTACCATTATTAGATTTTTAGAAAATTCTTTATATTCTTCCACATTTCATATAAAATCAAGCAATAAAATTCTAAAAAGCTTTTCCATATTTCTACTTTTGTATGCATTATCAGAGGAATATTAGTGTTTAATTCTTCCGGCCATTGTTATCTTTTTCTTAATTTTTCTTGCCGGGTTTTGTCATTCTCTTTACTATGTTTGATTTCTTTGACTTCCCTTCCAAGGAATTGACAACCGGTAATTGTGAAAATCAAACTAAGAGAGAACTTCAAGAGCTACAAGCCTTATATCGCATGCTTGGAAGAAACTATCTTAAGTGGTCTCAAATTGTGATGACCTTTCTAAAAGTAAAGAGCAAGATTCACCACATTGTGGTCCTTTAGAGCCAAAGACGCAAAGTTAGTACTTTGGGATGAAGTTGATTTCATGATCATGAAATGATTGTGGGATATTATGATGCCTTAAATCAGTGAGCCGTTGATGTTCTTCTCTACCAAAAAAAAGTTTGGGAAGTCGTCAAATAAGTATATTTAAAAGTGAAGGATGTTTCTCTCATCTATGGATCAAAACTAATATCTCAACAACCAAACAAGGTAACATTTATGTTATTGAATACTTTAATACATTGAATGTTTATTGACTTGAACTAGACTATTACCTAGATCTTAAAATGACATGCTACAATGATACAATAATTCTCAAGAAATTTGTATTAAGAGAAGGGTTTTTGAGTTCCTTGTAGAACTCAATAATGATTTTTACCAAGTTCGTGTCTAAAATTTAAGCTGAGAAAATCTACCTGCCATCAAATGTGTCTTTATTGGATATTTCTCTACTGGAAAAAGGGTATAAGCATTATCATCCTCCCACCAAAAAAATCTTTGCTTCAAAAGATATTACCTGTGATGAGAAGTAAATTTTTTTAATCAAACTCATATTCAGAGAAAGAACTCTCAACTAGAAGATCCAAACGCTATATGCCTTTTAGTCTATACAAGAAAGAATAAGCTCAGCCTAAATCTAAAAGAAGCTCAGATGCTCAAGACTTGGAATCATTAACAAGTAATAATGATCAATACATTAGCAGGTAATAATGATCAATCCATTAGCACGCATCTCTATATATCCTATCACCTAGTACACGTGTTTCAAAGTTCTACTCCTACTCATAATGCCTTCCTTACAAACATAACCTCTAATTCTATTACAATACTACAAAACTTATTTGAGGTATTTAAAAATAAGAATTAGAAGTATGATATGAGAGAAGAAATGAATATTTTGAAAGAAATTGCACATGAGAGATCATTAAACTAGTAAATGGGAGGAAAATTATATTAAGTAAATGAATTTTCTGTTAAATATAATGTAGATGGAAATTTGGAACAGTATAAAGTGAGATTGGTACTCGAAGAAAATACTTAATCTTGTGGTATGGAATCAAAAACCAAGAAACTTTTTCTTTTCCTACGAAAATGATTACAATAAACATCCTAATTTCTCTTATATTCAATCGTGGATGGTTCATGCAATATTATGATATAAAAATGCTTTCTTATGTGAGGGTGTTGAACAAGAAGTTTATATGAATCCACCATTTGGATTTGATAGTTTTTTCACAATGAACAAAATGTGCAAATTAAAAAAGTCTTTATATGGCCTTAAGCAATCTTTGAGAGCTTAAATTGGTAAATTTAGAAAAGTCATGAATGAGACTGGATACAAACAAAGACAAGGGCATCAAACCTTTTTCATAAAACATTCCACTGATGATAAAATCTCAATTCTCATTGTATATATATTGGTGATATAATTGTACTAGGTGATGAAAATAGCAAAAATGAGTCTTTTAGAAAAAAAATTATTGAAGAATTTGAGATCAAGGAGTTGGGCAAATTTAAATACTTCATAGGCATATAAATTATTCAATTAGAATTAGAAATATTCCTCAACAAAAATATGTCATAGAATATTGAAAGAAAAAAAAAGACTAGTTGTGAAACTTATAAAATCCTAACCGAATTATGTAAAAAATTGGATGTAGATGAATAAAGAAAGAAGTAGATAGATGATCATATCAAAGATTAGTTGAAAAATTGGTATATCAATCTCACACCCGTTCGGACATTGTATTTGCAATAAGTCTCTTTTTGTGTTTTATTCTTTTGTGGTTCATGGTTGGACATCTTATAATGAAAAAAAATTAGTCAAGTTTTTGGTGAATATTCTACGAGGAACCTCATTC